GCCAGTCTGTGTCTTTTAATTGGGGCATTTAGCCTGTTTACGTTTAAGGTTAATATTGTTATGTGTGAATTTGATCCTGTCATGATGCTAGCTGGTTGTATTGCCCGTTAGTTGATGCAGTTTCTTCATAGTGTTGATGGTCTTTACAATTTGGTTATGTTTCTGCAGTGGCTGGTACCAGTTGTTCCTTTCCATGTTTAGTGCTTCCTCCAGGAGCTCTTATAAGGCAGGCCTGGTGGTGACAGAATCTCTCAGGGTTTGCTTAAGGATTTTATTTCTCCTTCCCTTACAAAGCTTAGTTTGGCTGGATATGAAATTCTGGGCTGAAAATTCTTTTCTTTAAAAATGTTGAATATTGGCCCCCACTCTCTTCTGGCTTGTAAGGTTTCTGCAGAGAGATCCACTGTTAGTCTGATGGGCTTCCTTCCCTTTGTGGGTAACCCGACCTTTCTCTCTGGCTGCTCTTAACATTTTTTCCTTCATTTCAACCTTGGTGAATCTGACGATTATGTGTGTTGGGGCTGCTCTTCTCAAGGAGTATCTTTGTGTATCTTGGGGTTGCTCTTCTCAAGGAATATCTTTGTGATGTTCTCTGTATTTCCTAGATTTGAGTGTTGGCCTGTTTTGCTAGGTTGGGGAAGTTCCCTTGGATAATATCCTGAAGTGTTTTCCAACCTGGTTCCATTCTCCCCATCACTTTCGGGTACACCAATCAAACGTAGATTTGGGCTTTTCAAGTAGTCCCATATTTCTTGGAGGCTTTGTTCATTCCTTTTTATTATTTTGTCTCTAATTTTGTCTTCTCTTCTTATTTCATTAAGTTGATCTTCAGTCACTGATATCCTTTCTTCCACTTGATCGATTTGGCTATTGAAACTTGTGTGTGCTTCATGAAGTTCTCATGCTGTGTTTTTCAGCTCCATCAGGTTATTTATGTTCTTCTCTACACTGGTTATTCTAGTTAGCAATTTGTCTATCCTTTTTTTCAAGGTCCTTAGCTTCCTTGCATTGGGTTAGAACATGCTCCTTTAGCTCGGAGGAGTTTGTTATTACCCACCTTCTGAAGCCTACTTCTGTCAATTTGTGAAACTCATTCACTGTCCAGTTTTGTTCCCCTGTTAGCGATGAGTTGTTATCCTTTGGAGGAAAAGAGGCATTCTGGTTTTTTGAACTTTCGGCCTTTTTGCACTGGTATCTCCCCATCTTTGTGGATTTATCTACCATTGGTCTTTGATGTTGGTAACCTTCAGATGGGTCTTTGAGTGTCTTTGAGTAGACGTGCTATTCCTTTCTGTTAATTTTCCTTCTGACAGGCCCCTTTGCTGCTGACCTGCTGGAGTTTGCTGAAGGTCCACTGCCAACCCTGTTTGCCTGGGTATCACCAGCAGAGGCTGCAGAACAGCAAAGATTGTTGCCTGATCTTTCCTCTGGAAGCTTCTTCCCAGAGGGGCACCTGCCAGATGCCAGCCAGAGCTCTCCTGTATGAGGTGTCTGCTGGCCCCTACTGGGAGGTGTCTCCCAGTTGGGATACATGGGGATCAGGGACCCACTTGAGGAGGCAGTCTGACCCTTAGCGAGCTTGAACGCTGTGCTGGGACATCCACTGCTCTCTTCAGAAACTGTTGGGCAGGGACATTTAAGTCTGCTGAAGCTGCACCCACAGGCACCCCTTTCCCCAGGTGTTCTGTCCCAGGGAGATGGGGGTTTTATCTGTCTATTTTATTTTCTTATATGATATTCCTTTCTAGTTGGTTTTTTAAAAGACACTGTGGCTTTTTTCAGCAATACCAAAAGCCTATTTCTTTTAGATAGATAAATATATGCTATGACTGTTTTTTTATTTGTGACATAATTTTTTAAATTCCTATGACTAATATCTCTATGGAAGTATGTTTTAAAGGAAAGTATGAAAGTATCTCTATAGAAGTATATTTTGGAAGAAAATCTCAGTATGCTAATGATTTCCTATGTGAAATGTAAAAGAATTATGAGGAGGTAGTATCACATTCTGTTTTAACTTATATGCCATTCAATGAGACTCCCTATGTTTTGGTCCTGCCTTCTTTCTTCTACTAGATGTGTAGAAGTTACTAAAGTACCTTAATACTAATAACTTTTATAACCCTTGAATTATTCTTATCAACATACCAAAAACAAATATGCTGGGTGCAGCGGCTCACACCTGTAATCCCAGCACTTTGTGAGGCCAAGGCCGGAGGATTGCTCGAGGCCAGAAGTTTGAGACCAGCCTGGGCAACAAAGAAAATCCTGTCTCTATAAAAAAAGTTTTTAAATTAGCAAGGCACAATGTCAAGCACCTGTAGTCCTGCTTACTTGGGAGGCTGGGGCAGGAAGATGGCTTGAGCCCAGGAGATCAGGGTTACATGATTAATGTGCCACTGTACTTCATCCTGAATTACAGAGCAAGGCATTATCTCTTTAAGAAAAAAAGAAAAAATACTAAAACACAACAAATTTTACCTTAAAGGTAAAGGTAAATTTTACTTTTAAAGAGTTCACAGATTCATAATTTTTTCCTAGCCTGTAGTAGTTTTTCATACCCTATATAATACTTTGACTTGGCTAAAAGATCCTGGTGTGGCTGTGGTTGTCATGCTTGGAAGCAAAGGATTCATAGACTCGGAGTCATTTCATTTTTATATTTTTGTAATATTATTCATCTCTCAACATCATCCTACCAGATTATTATTTTTAAATGAAGGACATTCTCAATTTTAAAATAAGCTTCAACCAAATGCATTAAAACTACTAGAAAAGTGTTTTGGAAGATGAATAGTTATCCCACATGAATTACTAAGTTTTCATATAGTAATTAAGTCTTTTGGAAAATAATGTTTAACAGGTTGAAATCTTAGATCATACTAGTTAGGAACAGTATTTTTAGGAATTATAAAATTTTATACTTAATATTTAAGTTTTTCAGGTAACATAGTTTATAGAGCATACTCGATGAAAGGTATTAAAATCTTATATAGAGTACAAAAGCCTATTTGTTTCAAAAGAAAATTTATGGTTGTTCCTTTTGTCTCCTTCAGAGACCATTATAAAACAGAATATGAAAATAAACTACATGATGAACTAGAACAAATCAGATTGAAAACCAACCAAGAAATTGATCAACTTCGAAATGCCTCTAGGGAAATGTATGAACGAGAAAACAGGTAAAAAACAAAATGCTTGTGTGGTATCTTATTTATCTTGGGAGGTTATAGAAGCTTCATTGAAATTAAATGCTATTTCTATTATATAATGTCTTTTTGAATACATTAAAGAAAATTTGTCATAAATAGAAATCTAAATATAATGAGAACGTGAAAGTTGTAAAGTCTTAGAACAAGATTTACTAGACTAACCTTTTTGCTCTGTTATTCCTGTTATGTCTTTTTTTTTTTTTTTTTTTTTTTTATTGTTTTTTTAAGATGGAGTCTCACTGCACTGGAGTGCAGTGGTGTGATCTCGGCTCACTGCAAGCTCCGCCTCCTGGGTTCACACCATTCTCCTGCCTCAGTCTCCTGAGTAGCTGGGACTACAGGCGCCTGCCAGTACACCCGGCTATTTTTTGTATTTTTAGTAGAGATGGGGTTTCACTGTGTTAGTCAGGATGGTCTCGATCTCCTGGCCTCATGATCCACCTGCCTCGGCCTCCCAAAGTGCTGGGATTACAGGCATGAGCCACCGTGCTCGGCCTCCTGTTATGTCTTTTTTTTACACTAGTGACTTCTCTTTTTGCATTTGCTTCAGTTCAGATTGAAGACAGATGAAAAGTAAAGAGTACTGAGATACCAGTTCTTCCTGTATTATACCAACAATTTCTCCTGGAAACTTTTTAAAACTAGAATAGTAATTTGAAATATACACATGCCTCATTTAGCTGCTGGCTGTGAAAGATGTCATATTAGGTAATCCTGAAGTAATATCATTTTCATTCATGCAGTTACTTTTAGATCAGTAAATATTAGGCTCACCTGGTTAGTGACTGGCAGAATTCGGGAAAAATAAATACTATTTATTTCAGTGGCAGATATTTTTATGCATTGTTATAGAGTGGTTTTTGAAAGTTTATATTTTAATAAGAAAATTATTTTGAAATTGACTTGTGATACTAGTTTATCAGCACTGATTTGCTTATATGATATTTTGATTGTTGTCGGCAAGGCTTTAAATCAGACTTAATCTGTAATAGCATTGTAACATGTCATTTCTACTAGGAATATAGTAGCAGAAAATTTGGTACGTCCACCCCTCAATTCCAGAGAAAAAAGCTGCTGTATTATAGTATTTATAAGTTGGCTACTACTATAAAAACTATATATGTAGAATCATCCTTTGGTAATAAATTAGCAAAGATATTTTTTAAATTACTGTTAAATTGTTATTTAATGTAGCAGGTTGGTAGAGATGTTTATGCTATTGCCTCTGAGAGGTATGATTTTGTTCTTGGGTTTCTTTGTTCTTGGGTAAAAATGTTTGTGATGATAAGAGAGTAGATATACAGTTTATGACAGAACTTTTTTAGGATTTTTGCTAAATATGACTTAGTAGAAAGTCATAAAAATGACTTTCCTGAAAATCAGATTATTTTCCTCATAAATTTGGCTTGCATAGATCTTTTCTACCTGTTTGATCTTTTTTGAAAGTCTGCATTAGAAGTATATGCCAAAGGAAATTAACATGAACTTCACTGAATGCAAAATAAATCATTCATTTGTGCATTCAACAAATACTTTGTGATTATACTCTTCTGTTTTTTCTTGTTCTTCTCTTATTTGAGCTTTAAAATAATTATGTCATTTATAATCTAGGATTATATTTTCAATGAAAATAGCAAAGAATTTCAAAATATGAAAATTCTAAGTGATCATTCAGTACTATCTTAGCAGTAGACAAACTAAAAATATGCTTTGGGCACCAGCAAATACGTACGCATACCAGGAGAAAGTATACATGTTCTTAAAAAATGTTTTGACATATTAATTTTTAAAATAACATTTTTTATCTTGGAAAAAATAACACTTCTGCATTTGTTTACACTTAGTTTATATTTTAATATTTGAATATCCAATTACTAGTAGGAACACCATAGTCTTTTCTGTGAATAAGGCTTTTGAAGTCCTAAGCTAGCCTTCATATGTTGAATCCTGAGAAAATAATTGTTCCAAGTAGCTCAAAGAAATATTGGACCACTCTTTAAATAGCATTATTTTTTACTTTAGTTGCTATGTTATGATTGTTCTGTTTTTTGACCATATATGTTTGTATGTGTGTGTATAAAATAAAAGATGTTCAGAGAAAATTTCCTAATATTCATTAAATAAATAATTATAAAGAAGGAGAATAATGCAGCACTACAGAAATGTCCTTGAGACTCTTTCTGCTTAACTCCTTTCTTCCATAACTGCTATTCTGTTATGCTAATAACTTCCTTGCTTCTCCTTATACTTTTATTATCTGTGTTTCCAGTAAATAAACATCTCCGCACAATATAGTTTAGTTTTTCATATTATATTACTATCTTATATAAATGGAATTATGCTGTATACATATATATTTTTTGTGGCTTCTTCACGTAACCTTATGATTTTAAGATTCATTTGCTTTTGCATTTAGTTGTCCCTTCATGTTCATAACAAAAGTATGACAGTTTTATGAATGTACATGCTTAGGGCAGCAGAGTTATTAAGAGATTGGAGAGAGAATTCCAAAGACATTCTTTATCTTTGGCAAAATTTTACTTCATCCCAGCCCTACATTAGAAAGGAGGATCCTGTACCTTGTGATTTACCTGCTCTTAGAGTTCAAAATGCAGACTAAAAGAAGAGGTATTTACCTATTATATGCTAAGCTTTATGTTGGAAAGTTTTACATTTGCACCCTGATGTAATTTCCAGAGCAACAAATTAATGTATTTTGCAAATATTTATTGAAACCTACCATATGCCAGCTAAATGCTAGACATCATAGATAGTGGTGACCTTTGTCTTCACAAAGCTGGTAGTCTAATGGAGGGTAAAGGCAAATAGAGAAACAATTATCCTAAGTTATGATGATGGTGGACAAAATGATAGGATAAAAGATGAGACCATCTGTGTATCTAACCTAGTATTGGAAGGAATTGGGGAAGACTTCACAAATGAAGAACTGCCCCTTTTGACTGAAACTACTATTAAAAGTAAAACTTCAGACACATTAAATTTAAAGTTTAATTGAGCAATGAATGATTTGCAAATCAGGCAGCCTCCAGAATCACAGCAGATTCAGAGAGACTCCAGGGGTGCCTCGTGGTCACAACAAATTTGTAGACAAAAAAAGTAAAGTGACATACAGGAATCAGAAGTGAGATACAGAAACAGCTGGATTGGTTATAGGTTGATGTTTAACTTATTTGAACACTCAGCAGTGTATGAATGGTTGAAGTATGGCTGCTGGGGTTGGCCAAGATTCAGCTGTTGTTCCAGGAACATACCCCCAAGTTAGGTTTTCTATCTTGTCTGCCTATTAAGTTAGATTGCAGTTCATCAATAAAGACTCAAATATAGAAGTACAGAATCTTTCTTAAGGCCATATTTAGTTTGCTTTAACACTATGAATTAAGGAAGGAAAGGGAATTGGGAGAATCAATATATAGCATATATAAAAGCCGGAAAGTAGGATAAAATTAAGCTTTTTGAACAAATTAATTCGGTATGGCTGAAGGATAGACTGAGAGGCAGGGAGTTAAAAGAGATGAAAGAGAAGCAGCAAATGGGCCCAAAGAATGCATTTGGACCATTATGTAAGACCTATGGAGAACAATTAAAAGATTTTAAGAAGAGGCATGAAATGATCTGATTTTATATCCAGAGATCACTGTAATGTAGAGAATAGATTGGAATGGCATAAGCCTGTTAGAGAGGCTCTACTTTTAGAGGTTATTTCCACTATCCAGATGAAAGGTGATAATGGAACTGGATTAGTAGCAGTAAAGATGAGAGAAATGGGCCAGGTTGGGAAATTATCTAGGAGATAGAGCCAACAGGACTCAGTGACTAGATAGGATTGACGGGATGAGAACTCATTAAGGATGTCAGCGAGGTTTCTGAATTAAACAGCTGCATAGGTAGTGATACAGTTTTTAAAACACTAGAAAATACAAAGCTTTAATAGGAAAACATGATCAATTTAGTTGTTTCACTTGAAGTGTCTGTGGGATATATAAATAAAAGAGTTGACTGTAGAAGAATCTAAACCTCAAGAGAAAGATCTGGGGATTAGAGAGGCCTGTGATATAGATAGTATTATTTCTATTTTACAAATAAGTACTATTGGTTCTGTGGTTCAATTCTGTTGTGGATTTAATAGGCTTTTGTTGACTGATACAATAACTTTAAAATGTATGGGAACTTTCTATGGTTATTCCTAAGCAATCCACATAGCCATATAAACTTTGGTATGTAATCTTCTTGAAAATTTCCTAATTTTTTTAGGTTTTTGCTGTTCTTTAAAAAAAAATCTTTAAAGTTTATCCCATTGTAACATAAATGTGGTTGGTAGGGGTAGGTTGGTAAGGCTGTGTGGGGAAACAACCAACAGAGCCGTTTCTGGAAGTAGGAAAACTGAAAGCAGATGTCCTTGTCTCCAGTGTTCTTCTGGCCCCCTATCCACATCAGAATGGACACTACCTAACCAGGGGATTCCTGGGATTGGGACTGCCCTGTGGATGCCCCAGCCAGCCCACAGGACTCAGAACTGATCGGATGTACACTGAGGCTAGAGTGGACAGTTGCCACCAGGTGGTGCCAAATTGCAGCCTGAGCCCAGATGAATTTGAATTGCCCAAGACACCTAACTAGCTAGTTGTACAGGCTTGCCTTTATCGTTTTAATCTCACAGTAATCCAACCCTTTGTTTTATGTTACTGAATCTTTGGGGATCATAGTTTCTTCATTACGGGAGATTTAACTGTAGTTAAAGCTCGTATCATACTAATCTTCCACACAGTAAAAAATAAATTGTAATTTATTTCTTTTGAAATCGTTGAACTTAAAATGGCTAAAGAACGAATTTTAATATTTCCTGTTATAAAACATGAAATTCATAAGTTTACACATTTAGGGTTGTGTGTGTGTGTTTAGGTAAATTAATCTTTTGCTTTGGCCTGAGATGTATGATTGTGTTAATTACT